CGCCAGAGTAGACTAATCAGCGCGAAGATTGTCACTCTGGCCAATTACAACAAAGATTATTATCCAACTTAAGCAAATATATTAACAACAACAAGATCCAGAAGAAAAAAATACTTACAAAATGGTGAATACACACTTGTGGTGACTGCTCAAAAACTTACATCGGTCAAACTGGTAGAACATGTAACAAACGTATAGCAGTACATAAAAGGACTTTCAATAATAGAAAAACAGATTCTATGTTGGCACTTGTCATTCTAGATCATAATTATTCTTTTAATAATCAATTTCAAATTCTCCATATTTAAAATAAAGTCCTTAGCAGATATAATTCTGAATGACCAACTTAAGACAAACAGCTCTCCTCTCTGAGACTGCCGAAACAGGTGTAGTGACAATAAATTGTAAAACATTTTGTAGAAGTGTAAAAAACAAAAGTTTTCAGTGTTTTAAGAATCGGTCAAATCCATCCTTATATATAATTTTGTTATATTCGATAAGTTCCTTTTATTATGGCCTGAGAAGATTTTTGCACATTTAGGAGGCACGTATTTTATGCAGCATGGGATACAGCTAGACCCTCTCCTGAATAAAAAGAGGAAACAAATCATTATTTGCATTTATATCTCCTTGCATTATAAACAAGCAACTGCATATATGGTACCATTTAAAAATATAAGATTATCTTGTTTTTATTTGAAATTATTGATTATACGTCCGTTTTTATAGAACAAAGGTCAGCCATTCTCGGTGCAAAAAAATCAATCAACAATTAATTATAAGAATTTGGAAATGTTTATAAACAAAACGAAAACGTTGTTATCTCATATCGAGATAGTAAACTCAAAAGTTACTATTATTTATTAGCAGTGGTATATTTCCTGAAAGTTAAAGAAGCAAATAAAAATATTATAGAAAAAGGTATAGTAATTAGTCTCTTCTGTCTGATTTTTTTTATTTAAAGAATAGATCGTATAGGTTTGGTCCAACAACTGAGTTTTTAATTTGTCGAAATTTAGAGGTTGATGAAAATGGAATATGAATTATAATTTTGTTCTATATGATTTTAGAAAAATTATTATTAATTAAAGGTCAAGGTATGATCGGAGTTGTGTACTGTAGTGTTTGGTAGGTGTGTGGTGGTAGGTGTGTTGTAGTTTGGCGATAGACTGAGAAATCAGGACCGTGCGCGCTTTGTTTTAAAAATCTTTACTTATAAATTTAACTAAGTTAAATAAGAGAATAAACAAAAAAAAAGAAGTTAATTCTATAAAACATGTCCTAATATGTCATTTGAATCGATTACCATCAACAAGTCCTCAAAGACATTTCGTCTAAGTGCTAGCAACCCCATTGGAGTCCTAACTTATCATGTAGCTAATTTCATTTATAACTTAAACATCTTAGTTTTTATCAAAAATGTAATATAAAATTAATTCCATTGTATTTAAAGGGTTATCCATGGATTTAATGGCTTTAAACATGTAAATCCAGTCAAAAATAAACCACATTGTTGTTATAGCCTTGCTCAAAATTTTAACTTTCACTTTTGCTTTAATTAAAGTGGTAATACTTATTTTAGGATAGCACTGATAATGGAAGAGTTATTCCGAAAGCGTTCTGTGATGTGATTTTCATATTAAAATGCCTTTTACAAAGGAATGTTTTTATATAAATTTTTTTTAGACTATTTAAATTAATTTATTATCTAATAAAGATTTTTCTCACAAAAATTATGTTGTTTTTTTTTCGAATTGCACGACACAGAAGAGTTTTCTTGTCTTATTTTTAAACAAACGAAGACAAATCATTTTGTTAAAATTCCACAATTAATATTCATTGTTTAAGCTACATAAAGTCACGATTTTTTAGTTTAAAAATGCTAATGATAAATGATAATACTATTTAATATTAATAAAACGGATTAATACAAGACTCTTTTATCAAGTTATCTGTTAGAGGAAGATATGAGAACAATTTATTTTAAATACCTTTAAATATACGCAAATATAAACAGTAATAAATCTTTTTTAAGTAATGGTTACAACTTACCTTCGCTTTTTACAGTGCTTTTAGTCGAATTCGAATACATTTACGTGTTTTTACACATTCGCTGCACTTTTTTCGATAGTATAATCTGTGCAATCAAGTTGAAGTGTTTGTTATAGTTGTATCGATTTGTTGTTGTTTCTCGTTGTTTCTAGTATTTGAACGATTAGTTAAATAAGTGTTGTTTTTTTTTAAGTAAGAGATATGTACATCTAGAACAATCTATGGTATATATATCAAGTCTGCATCAGGTAATTTTTTACGAGAATAGGTAGTATTGCTTTCATAAAATACGAAAAGCCGTGATCATTCTCTTCTGAGAAACATTTATATTTTTTTGTTGATATCATTAATTTTTTCTATCAAACAAGATAACATATCCGCTTTTTTAGAATTACTGATAGGTGGTTTATTAATTTGTACATTTTGGTATGGAGCTTTCTGTGAAAAGAACATATCCTACAGGTAAATGGGAATTAACAATGTAAATATCAGTACATCAAATAAACCAAATGCATTTTAATATTTGCTAAGTGTTTTTTTGATTTTTTTTTGGTTTAGAAACTCAAATATTCATCACTAGTATTCAAATAATTTTGTATTGTGACATCTACTGTAGCCATTTCAGCAATAACTAATTTAAAACATAAGGAGAAGTGGGGTATCTGTGGACGGAATATAAAAAGTTTTATTTTTAAGTTACTTATGAAGTTAGTTTTCAGGCTTTCAAACCACTTTCTTTTTGTTTGTAGATATGTATTAGTAATCTATTAATATGTTATGTATTAAGTGAGAGAGAAGAGTATTGACATTCTTTTCATTATCATAAGCGAACAAGAGGCCCGTTTTCCTCACGAAATTTGAACGCATTTCCCACACATCGTTTCAAACATTGATTATCACGGCTCTTTTCACTGCATTAATTTGACATATTAGTCCAATCGAATGAGTAACTGCTGGTTTGTTTATTCGTACTACGATATAATTTCCTGTTAATCTATTATCGTCAATGAGTTTTTGAACTTGAGGTTCGCCACCTTCTTCCATATTGTCATTTGGAGCTTCATATGAGTCATCACTCTCTGCATAAAACAACTTCTTCGTAATTTCTTATTGTTCGAAGATTTTCGATCCTTAGTTTTTGATAACTGTAGGTGTTCTAAATAGGTTTTAGTTGTGATCACCTTCAGCAGCATCTATTCTTTTCTTCTCCTTTTAATGTAGCTTCGGAGAAGATTTCACTGTTACTAATAAAATGTTCTCCCAGGATTCAATGGAAGTTGATGCAATGCAATTCTAGCTTTCTGTAGTAGAGCTGCAAGAGCTTGTACATGGGATCGTAATTTGCTTCCCCGTAGAACTTTGCTCATCATTGATAGTGTCAAGATATTTTTCTCTTCATAATATCGTTTTTCGGGATCAAAGTTTTCTTTGTTAATGGAATCTCGATTTAAAGGAAAAATACCTGTTTTTCTAAAGCCATTCACCACAACAGGTTCTCGAATACTGCGCCAAACTTTTCCCAAAAGGTTGAAAAATTCGCATTTTGTTAGCTGCTCTCCTAAATTTTTGCGTTGCCAATCTGTAACTAACGCATCCCATGAAGGCTTGACCCCTTGAAGATAGACACATCCAAAGACTGCAATATTGCAGAAGTATGTGGCAGTAATTTAAGAATAGTCACATATTCTGCCATGAATAACGCAATCAGTTCGGGTGAAATCTTGTATCAAAAGAGCAGGCCATTCAACGCAATTTTCAAAAAAAAATTTGAACCATAGCAAAAATACTTGTTCAGTCATCCAACCATTTTCGGATACGTAGTAAGATGTCTCTGGATACTCATCTGTACCAAACATATTGTCCCATAACCTTTTGCCCTTGTGGAGGATCATAGGTGGCAATATGGATCCGTTGGCATTAGCACATGCTAAAACTGTTGTTGTTTTCACCCTAAGCCTGCAGTTTGGCTTTGTGCTATTTTTCCGATTCCAGTTACAACCTTAGTACGGCTGAGGTCATAATTAAAAGCTGTTTCATCTGCATTCCATATCCCTAGCAGGGTATTGTTAAAGTTGTAAATTATTGATAATAGTTTCCAGTTGATCAAAGAAATCGTAAACAACAAATGGGTCACTTTGTTGTCTTACACGTGATGCTTCATTTATCTGAGGTTTCTATAGAAAGTCGGTTGCGTTTTGAAAAATTCAGAAACCAATCTTCACCAGGCTTCCCCTCTCTAAAGGGCGTTTGCAGATTATTTTGTTGAAACATATACCTGTACAGTGTTGTGTATTTGTTTTCGAGATAGTCCAAACCTCCACTTACTAATAGTTTTTATTCGAGAAGCCAAAATGTCTTCATCTTCTTTAGAAAGAGCAGTTCTACCACCTCAAGTCACACCTGAAATAGATTTTCATTGTTTTAACAAGTACAAATCTAGTAGGTATCTAATTTTGTTATTACCTTGTGCATGTCCTGCCACTGGTCTACCTTTCCACCCATTACTTTTTCCATTCATCCCATGGTCCATTGCAGCATTATTTAGTGAAGATTTCCCCGATTTCACATCTTTTATAGCCAGTTCTAATGCTTCTATTAAATACCTACTTCCGACACCACTATTGATAGTCTTTTTAATATATTTGTCTTTTTAATAGTTTTTCAAATTTAACTCAACTACTACGCAATTTATTTAGATCAAAACATGACGGTCAGAGTTTTAGTTGCTAACTAAATTTTTGTTTTGGTAGCTGATGTCTCAAGAATTTCGCACTAGTTACTAGAAAGATATGTACTGTAAACTTTATAAGATCTCGTTAATTAAAAAAACATTAATGGGTGCCACAGTTACCGCAAACCACAGTTAACCCATTTTACCTTAATAATGAAACTATTTTAATAACACTCGTTAGATAAATATTTCACACATATGTCTTTGTTTTAATTAGATCCCACTCCAAGATGGAGCGCTATACGAGGCTCCCCCGAGCTCCGACCCTACAACAGCCTGCCCCGCAAACAAGACATCAACAACTACCCATCCTTAGCCTTACACCAAGCTAATCTCAAGAACCAAGAAATCTCAAACGAGTCCACATCCCCAACTTACAGACGACGATCTCCTAGAAGAACGCAATCCGAAGATATTTACGATGACCAAGGATCTTCCGGGCAGTTCAGAGGCAGTTCGCCCATCGGTCTCAGGGGAAACTCTCCAGATATGGACGTTTTTGTTTCGAGGCCTACTCGAATGAACCCGCTGATGAAGCTGGGCGACAGCAGACCTGAGATCGATAGGAGGAGGTCGCCGATGAGGAAAAGTAACGAGGGGAGCAGTGAGGATGGGAGTTCCAAAGAGGATGGAAGTCCTAAATCTAGAGGTAACTAATAGTTTCAGTATTAGTTTTATTTGAATTAACAATAATAATTATATTAATTGAATAAAAGAACCATAATCCTTTAAAATTTAATTTTTATAAATAGTTCTAATTTTTCAATGATTATGATGAATTGAATGATGAATTACGAGGTCATATCCCCTCCATATTGAGAAAACCCAATATATTTAGGTTATCTGTGAATTCTTACACGACCTTAGATCATTCACCACGATTCCTTTTTCTTTTTCTGTTTCGTCTTCATCTGATTTTGTCTTTTGTCGATTGAGAATTTGTGCATGATCTTCTTTTTAGGTCTTTGTCTGGGCAGACGCCTTATTAGGAATCTGCACTTCTTGCTCACTCTTTCTTCTGAAAGCTGTGAGAAGGAGATAATTCAATTTACCTTCTTTTAATAATGTACCTTGTTGGGCTATATTTTTCTTTGGGTTACTCTACTTAAAGAACGACAATAAGATGACATGTTTAAGCTTCTATGATTATCTATATTTACCAAATAGTCTTCAGATGTTTTATAACGGCTTTTTATTTTGTTGATACTTGCACGATCTAGATCTAGAGCTAGACAGAATTGATTGGATGCAAGTTCTTATCCTCCAGCTCTTTTTTGTTGGCTAGTAATCCTATTAGTACTGTCTTGTATGATAGGTTTCTTCTTTGTTTTTTAGGCTCTAGTACCAATAGTTGCATCCTCCATCTTTACTTTTCCCCTGAGATTATTTTGCTAATGATACTGGTATTTTCTATGATGCGATCTCCAATTTTATTCCTCAAGTTTCAGCTCGTGATAGTTTCTTATGAAGTAGACATTCCGTCTGTATTTGATGATAATGATTTCGCTTGGGTAGCTACATTTATACAGCATTTGGGTCGTTTTGCATAGTCGATACCCTTCTTTCGATATTGAGTGCAGCCTTCTCCTTTTTATAGAAAGACAGAAGATTTTGCTGTAGAGTTGTATGTTGTTGCTTTTTTATCCCCTTCTGTGCAGCCCTATCTTTTTTTATTTGTTCTATTTGTTGTCAGGTTCTGATATTTTTTTTTTGTCTTCTTTAATTTGGTCTTAAGGCTGTCTACTTTGTGTTTATCAAGCACTCTCATAATGTTGAAACTCAACTAATTTTGCCTGTTCTTCTAGCTTTATAGTGATGGCTAAGTTTTGCTTAAATATTTTGGTCGTTAATTTTTTGTTGACTGGTTTCATTTCTTCTTCTATTTCTGAGCGAGCCAAACTAATTTAGTACTCCTAGCTGTGAACATTTGTTTTGCATGCACAGAGTCGTAGCCTGCTATGTAGCATATAAACATGTGATGAGTATCTAGTGCTGGAATAGAGCCATTATGATATCGTGGCCATCTTCTTTATATAGTTCAGCTGGAAGATTATCTATTCTGGGTGATTTGTTTCTGCCTAGTTTAACTGCGTGTTTAACTTACAGAATTGTTGATAGTTCCTCTTCCTTCTCGTATGTTTCGTTTACCTCATCTCTTTCGTTTTCCAGGATTTCTTCTTCTTCCTCTATATTAAGTACCTGGTTAAAGTATTCCACCCATCTATTTAATACAGCTTTCCTTGTTATTAATAGGTCACCATTCTGACTGCTGCCTTGACTTGAGTTTGTCTTGAATCCTTTTCTGTTGATGTTAATTTTTTTATGGAATACTCTGAATTCTTTCTCTCTGTTAAAGATTTCTACATATATGTAAGTTCCTTATTTAATTGGTTCCATTTTTTTCTTTTTTATATCCGCTTTTGTTTCTTTTCTTTCTTTGTCTGGTAATTCTCTACAGTTGTTCTAGTTCATCGGGTAAACATCTTTCTTTAGGCTTCATTTTTTTTATTGCATTCTTCCATTTATGGTCAAACCAATGATTTTTACTAGCACAATTTTTTTGTTTCTATTTCATCTTTGCTGCTGCTTTAATATCTTCTCTATTCTGGTCCAGTAGGAGTCTATATAACCTCAGGAATTATTAGCTTCATGGAACTTATGTCGACGACTCTGTAAAAAAAATATTCATAGGGGGGGAGCATTTGTTGAAGAGCTTGCCACCTCCGTACGAACAGTAGTAAAATAAAAAGGAGACTGTAAGAAAAGCACTAAAAAGGTACAAGTTTTATCCTTATAAAATGTAGCTACTTCAAGATCTTTGTGACGATGATTTTAATAGAGGAAGTTTTGTAAAATCATCTTAGATCAAACCAACTCACTCCGTAATATTCTGCCGAATAGTTCAACGATAATTGTTAATTTTTTAAATGGTAGTAAACAAAATGTTGTGTCTAAAATCACAATAGCATTCACAACGTCCACAAAAAGTTAATGTATGTTGATATTTTCGGGAATTTATTGAAGAAAACTTGACAAGCGATCTATATCTTAATATATAATATCAGTTATAACCTCAAACTGATTAATAAGTTGGTCTTCAAATTGTCATCCTGTACATGATTTCGTATTTATCAGACAAACTTCTTGTACTCTCTATTTACAAAACATTTATCTATATATTCTTGCTGTATATTAACGGAGAAATATAACATCTAACGTCAACCAAGAGAAGTGAACTCAACTTGTTAGTTTTCAGTTATTTTTGCAATATTTAACATCCTTTACCCTTATTAATGATGCTGCTACATAGTAACGTAGTAAACACGAATGCTTGCGACTATATATAATGTATATGCAGGTGTATTTTCGCAGGATAAATAAATAAGTATATGAGTCTGCTAGCTCCATTCCCGTTAGCTATTAACTTGTACTTTACTTGGTACGAGAGAAGATATAAATTGAAACTGTATAATATGCTGAAATCTTAAAAATTGGATAAGGTATTTTAATTTCTATAAACTATAACTTTCATGTTTAGTTTCTAGAAGCATTTACATTGTAATTCTTTTGTTTTGCGTTCCTCGTCCTCTAAAAAGACTTAATACAATAGAAATGAAAGACACAGACTTGCTTTCGGTTCAAGTGATTGACATAAATCTTGCAATGGTGTAAAAATACAACGTTCTACAGTTAACAATTCAAAGCAAGATTCAACGTAAACGCAGCATAAGACGAAGAAGAATGACCTGATTCAATTCAATACAAATTGTTCAGTGCAGTGATCTCTTAAACATAAGGATATTAATGATGATTACCAACATTCGTGGAATATATTTTTTATATCTGTTTTCGGCTGTTATGGCTGCTTTCAGATGGCAGCGCATTTAAAAAGCTTTTGCAGACAGAAATACTCTTGAAGACTATATTGTGAAGCAAGGGTAGTTGGCACCTTTATGTCAGATGTGATCAGATTGAATGCCACCTGTGAACTGCTGCTACTTGAAAATATCGAGGAATCTTATTGGTCTTTGGATTAGGTTCGTATGCAACTATGTATGTCTGATGATAGGAAATAACCTTAAAATCGCGATACTATGCTGGTGTTTACAAATTTAAATACAAAGACTCGCAAATTTGATCTTACGACATATCTTAAATACTGTTACGAACATGCATTCGACGTAGCCCATATAACGGTTGCATCTCGAGAACGATGATGGAACTTATCGAAGGTTCCGGATATATCGACCGAGGGAGAGATTGAGCTGTCAAACAAGCGAAATAGAGGTGGACTATTCCAGTTTATTTTGGTACATAATAACTTTTATACATAAGCAGAGCTTTGATGAGTAAGAGTTAGTTGATAAGATATAATCGTAGAACCGCTCGTTTTATTTAAAAACGGTACAATACAATATCATGTTTAGTTCCGCGTTGTCAGATCTATACCTCTCTAGCGCATTGCAACTCTTCGCTCTCTCTCAAAAAGAGAGTACCTACTGTGCTAATTTTCAGGCGCTTTAGAAAATAAACATTTTTGTTGTTTGCTAAAATAAATGTATTAAAACGTTTTTGATATTCCAACTCATTTTATCTTCTATTTTTGGCCTATAAACACTTTTTCTCCCAACTTTTAACATGTATTATATTTCTAATAAAAGTCCTAATTATATTACAAATGTTTTAGGTATTTTAACACCCGAATCAATAAGAAAATTCGACCGAAACCCAATCGAAAAACGAGTCAGTTTCGAGAGTCATATTCCCAACACGAGGATGCTCGCCAAACCTGCTCCAGTTTTTAGAACGCAATCTTTGGTAGAGGGAAGAGTTCAGAACCATCTGATGAGTCGGTATCCCATTCACCACGAAGATAATTCTGATAATTCGGAAGAGGCGACAACACATAGCGAAGTAAGTATTCAATTGAAGCTTTGACTTCAGTAATAAAGAACTATTTTATGAATCGGTAGGTTAGAGACATTGAATTTGTCACTTTTTGGTTCAGACATAAGTTTGGTATAACTTTTTTTATTCAACTGGTAGTTATTGGTAGTTTCCGAAAGATTACTATAGACTGGCCTGATTTTTCACGTCACATAATTTGCTCTATTCAAATTGTTTCTCTAAAAATTATAGCGATATTTGTAAATAAATTGTATTAGCGCGTAAATAAATTCTAGTTGGAAATTTAAAATAAAATTTGTCCAATAATTTATTGAGAAATAATTTACGATTGTTCAGCATTTTATTTAATTTTATTCCGCTTTTATTTCGTTAATATATTATATATCGCTCAATATTCATTGAGCTGGCATGAATTTAATTTTATGATGTATCGATATCAGCAATCATCCGCGTTTTATACGAGGAAATCCACGTAAAATATTAATGAGCCATTGTCTATATCATTTAATAAGGAACTTAGGTGTTTAAGGAATTGTATTGGCTTAGATGGTTAATTGATCTCTAAAAATGATAAATAACATCGAAGAGTTCAATCAAACGGAGCCTTGCGAATTTAAGATAAGGTCCAATTTGTCTACTTTGCGGCTTTTTGGCTATAACTCAAAAACTGTTCATTTTTAGTAATTATAGTCGGACAATTTTTAATTAAAGGTGACTAATCTACAAATTAAACTAAACGGTAACGGCAACCATGTAAAATTTCAGCAGTAAATTCTTACCGGGGTCATTTTTATTGTGTATGCTTCGCCCATGTAAATAAATGAAAAAGTAAGTTAGTCACATAAAATTTGCCCCCGTAACAATATAAATTGGCGCAATTCACGAATGTATAGTAAGACAAGTTCATTGAATAGTTTGAAACATCGGTAAACTTATCAATATTTTGCTGGTCTATGTATATATATATATATATATATATATATATATATATATATATAATATATATATATATATATATATATATATATATAATATGAGTTGTGTTTTTAACTGTTTTGTTTCTTAAATGTTCAATGTTTTTTAATATTTGTATTGTACTATCACACTGGAGAAAAATAACAAAAATGCACTTGTATTGTTTGAGTTTTCAAGCCACCATATAACACATACAACTTATAATTTTTTTTGCTTTATAAAAAAATCTTCAAAAAAGTTTTTCAACATGGAACTTTCAAATACCACTTATGCCTGCAACCTCACACAACATTCGTCTGAAGATGTTAAAGAAATTAAACGAAATATAACGAAGTCGTTGAAAAGAGCACACTTTGGCTTTCATTATTCAGCTGCTAACCCAATTAACCTTACCATTATACTAATATATAATATATATATATATATATATATATATATATATATATATATATATATATATATATATATATATATATATTGTTATGATATGTAAAATCGAGAAAAGTATTGGTTTGCTTAAAATATTTCAAAGTTCAAAAACATTAAAATATTTCCGATAAGTCAAACAATAAACTACAAACATTTCGAAGAATGAAAGTCTTTTAATTTTGGATTACCTGTATTTTACAAAACGTAAGATATGCATAAATTATTTTCTTTGTTAAAATATATTTGTATGACGTGAATAAGCTTAAGTGAAATAAAAGACAATTGAACCGGGTTTTCCAAATACATTGATGCAGCGATTAGGACAATAGAATAGATTTTAGAAAGATAGGTTTTTGTTAGTTTGTAAGAATTGTAGAAAAATATTATTTGTAAATAAGTTTTAGGAAAATTTTATAATTATAGGTTAAAATTTGTTTGTTATCGAAATGAAAAAAATGGGAGATGGATGACGCATTTTGATTGGATGAAATTGAAAAAGGTGGGATGATTGGTTTGAGAATGAGACTTTAGTTAGTTTTTGAAACAAAAAAGATAGTCAGTTGGTTTCCAAGGGTAGAAGGCGAACGGCCGTTGTTCTCGGGTAGTTTCCCAGAGGTAGGAAGCAGTAGCAGTGAAAGTTTGTGAGTTTTCGTCTAGTTAGTGTATTTGACAGAAGCTGATCCAGTAAAAGATTGTAAGTCATATTTTTCTACTTATATTCCAAGAGTCACTGTTCAGGCCAAAGAGAGATTCAGCTTATCGAGAAGAGAATAGGCTAGCATAATTTGAACGATTCGTGAATTTGAAGGAGATCATTAAGGTCGATAAACTTGCAACAATTTGTTGTAAGATTGCTGATTACCTAGGGAGCGGCTGAGAGTAGATAATATAGTCTACAAGGAACAAGGATTTGGACCACTCATCATCAGAGAGAGATAGTTTTGTTTTCTGCAGTTTTTCTTTTATAGATAACACAATTTTTACACTTAATTTAGAAAGGATATAAATATTTTGATTAGGAGATTTAGAATAATATTTGGGATTTTGAGATTTCAACTAAGATTGTTTGTACCATTAATTTTGAAGGTTCACGTACGTAGAACAAAATTTTGAGAATCATTATATGAGATTTTGTGTATTGAAAATTTTTGAGTGTGAATTTTATTTCTTTATTTTATTTCAATATATAATGTTAGATCCTATATGTTTTTTATTATTCGAGTATTCTTTGGACCTTACCTTTCACATGTAATAGCATAGATATTGAAGCACGAATTTAACCTTGAGATAAGAGAATAAAAAAGTGTGATAGAATCATAATCATATCATTTAAATAATTTTTAATTAATTAATTAATTGATTAGCTAATTAATTGCTTGGCGCACTAAGACTTTAAATATCACAATAATATATATATATATATATATATATATATATATATATATATAATATATATATATATATATTCGAAAGAATGAGAATGAAAGAAATATGATCTTTTAATTTATTCGTTCCACATTCTATATGTGCATAGGCGTAGTATGTTCTATTTCTTGGGAATATATTTATTAAATAAACTTTATTCTTAACTTTAAAATAGTTTTGAGGTAAGTAAAGTAAAATTGAGGCAAGTTTATTCTTTATATAATATTAACCCATTAACGGCCACTCAATATACAAAGAGAAATTTGACAATTAATTAATTAGATTGGATTAAAAACACATAAATTAAGACTAATTTACAACCAAAAAGATTTTTTTTCTGATTTTCAAGGAAAACAGTACAATTTTTAATAAAAAAACAAATTGTATCTTAAATTTAAATTAGATTTTAAGGTGAAAATTTTCGAAACGTTCGGGGTGTAGATGCATTCTACACCTTTTACATAAATAAATAGTATTACGTTTGCAGTCCTACATTTTTGTACTATCGTCTCTTTGTGTAATGTGGCCAATATTGTCGAATCTGGTTTCATCTGGTAAAGAAAATTTAGATTGACGTCCATGGTCCATGTACTGTTTGACACCGATTTAGCGGTTTCTTTACTATTATCAATTATAAATATAAATCTATGTCGGCTCAGGCTTTCTCTTATAATGTTCTATGCTAATATTTTTTTTTAAATCTATGTTATACATTTTAAAATCGTGACGGTTATTCTGCGATGCCTAAATATGTATTTGTAAAATATAAAATGCTTTCAATTACTTTTTAATAAAAAAAAAGTAAAAAAACTTAATATATGACTTGCCTCCATGGTTGCCTACATGTATGTCTAAATACAAACAGACTGATGTTGAATCACTACTGAGCACGAAGGAGGATCTGTTGTTACAACTTGAGACAAATTTGGATTTGCTATTTTTGCCTGATTTTTTCTTTGGACGTTTTATCTGTGGTTTAGAGGAATAACATAATCAGAATCGTCAGAATTCCCAATCACTTGTATTTCATAAGTACTTGCAATATCCGATTTTATTGATTCTTCACAAATAATATTATCATCAATGTCTTTTACATCAAAAACTTTCCAATCTAATCTCGACGGCAAATAAACCACATTAAGTGAGTCAGCATTTTCACAATGTGAGTCTTCTTCTAAGAAAGCTATTAACTCTTTACTAGTTATCTTCATTTCATATTTCGAGAATTTACTGAAATAGACAAATGTACTACTATATACACGCATTCACATGATAATAGCTTAGCTTACATTATTTTAATTTATATGAACTTCATAATATATTTTTGTATTAATATGAACAAATAAACACAAGGAAACTTTTAAATTAAGTTAAAAAGAAACAAATATAACGTTTACAGCACACAGCAATTGTATAAATAAAGAATGTGTAATGACGAGATATTTCAGATTGTTTAGTCTAAAGAAAAAATAAGTATTTTGCAAAGATTTATGTTTATTAAATACTATATTAAGTACTCTATAATAACAATAAAATTTTACTTTATTTTGTTAGACAACTATAATTAACTGTTAAAAGACACATGGTAATTTAATAATTATATCGGTCTTAGATTTAATTTTTACGTAATTACTTATGTGTGTAAATAAATAATTAATTTTTTTTTGGTACGCCTCTGCAAAATTAATAAGTGGAATATGATTTTACTGAAACATTATCGTTAAGGGCTTCGTTAAGTGCGATGTTGCCAAGTAATCACCTTCAATTAAAAATTGTTTTAGTATAGTCGTAGAGATTTTGTAAATTTCTGATCTAAAAAACCAAATAGTCTAGTCTTTAGAGATTTGACTTTCAAAAATCTTACTTACAAGCTGAATTTTACTGAGAATGTCAACTTTGGGACCTCAAAAAAGTGCCTCTAATACCTCCGGGCTTTTTCCTGAAAACTCCCTCGTATGGGAGGGATACGGAAAAATATCGATTTCGACCGGTGATTTTGAAC